TTAAAAACAAAACTGAATATTACTTATTATGCTTCTGAGTGTTTTAATATATTTATATTAAACTTGAAACACAACTGTTTTGTCACATATTCATAATACGAAACAGACCACGGGGGCACGCAAACACATTAATGAGAGGAAAACCGAACAGCGTTTCTATAGGCAAGCCAAGCGCGCGCGCACGCACGCACGCACGCACACACACACACACACACACTGTTTTAGAGATCTACTTTTCTTTTCGAATGCCAGTAAACTACAGTGCAAACATAACCGTGAGAAAAGAAAATTGAAAAACCATCAAATATCGTACTGCAACAACATGGCCCCACCCGTTTATCACATTACAGACTTCAAATTTCAATAGAACTATATAAAAAAAAATTACTGTGTGAAAGAACAAAATTATAAGGATCTCTGTTACAGTGTGAAGTATTTGTTATTGGTTGGAACACGCAACCACTCATGCAGAAACTCATCATTTTAAAGCGAACTTTTAATGGCATAGAACCTCACACAATGTGGCTCCTGAAGTTGACGTGAGAACGTAGAAAATTCACGGGCGAAGACAAGCTCACAACGAAGTTTGAAGAAACCTGAGCGAACATCTGCCTTCACGCTTCACTTCAGTGTTTGTTTCGCTCGTGAATTTGATCCGTCTCGCTAATGGATTCCGCATTTCCATGGTACCGACACAATCTCACATCGAAGGAGCCCATTCCACTTACTCAGGTTCGAATTCCGAAAATAACTTTTCTCTCAGAGCAAACACACCTTTCAAGGCACGAGGTAAATAAAAGTAGCGTGGGAAATAACACCCAATGCAACGAAAGAAAGTAACTAAGTAAAAACCTGCAAACATAACCTTAAGCGAACAAAAACAAATGAACGAATTAATAATATGGCAGTATCCTAAGCTATAGACAACAAAACCCAGGATAATAAAACCTGAACAAAAGAAAAAACCAGACAAGTTGCTACGGTCAACATATTAACCACCCGTGAATTTCATATACCAAAATTCAGTGTTGTTCCCCTACTTTAAAACAAATACATAAGATTAAACTTCGTGGTAATTGGACTGAAGTATGTTCTATGAGGAGGTATGCACAGCCTTTAAAAATATTACGTTCTTACTGACAAATCGCATCTATTGCTTTTATACGCTTCAATTGGGCTTTTGAAACCCTCAAAATTGTCTTACGTGGATGTTTAAATAAACAAACTTAACCTATATCACAACAGCCGTATATATAATTCAATATATAGTTTATTTAAAAGTATTTTATAAAAGGCAAATATAACAGGCTCTGCACTTATAGTCCCATTCAAGAAGAAGTAGAAGTATGGAAATCCGCTCTATTAGATTACTTTACTATTCAGGCCACTATAACAACAATCTTCTAATTCAGAGTCGACGTCTCTGCTGTTCCTACAGGAACAATGAGACAAAGATCTTCTCACGCTTCTGTATACCTCCTAAACGCGACACGCAATTGTGCGTGGTTAAATAATGTCTGTGTGTAAGACTAACGGTTAATTTCGATATCTGGTTAAGAGGATATCAGAATAAAATATTTTCCAACATCGTTAATACCGAATCCTGTATCGGTTGTGAGTTCTGAACCAAAGCCCAACGTTTTCACATCACAAAGCACGTTTTATTAATGTAGTACCTGGTTGTACCGCGCCTGTCGCTGTAAGCAACCGCAGGGCACAGTTTAATGTATATATAAAGAAAGAAAGAAAGACAATTCAAGAGATCATAAAGAAATAAAATTATCAATCGCGGGGCAGACACTGTCATTAAAATCTAACAGTTCTTATCATGTATTTCGATACAGATATAAATGGACTGTGAGTTTCAAGTCGATATCACCCACTATCGAAACATTAATCAGATATCGAGATACTGGGAGGCCCTCTCCCCATGCCAATGCACACGATAATAAACAAGTTCAAAGCGGATGTGACATTATTCGACCCAATAAAGGGGAACCATATGTCAGTCAGCCAATAAAATGAAGTCCCTCTGATGACAGCATGTAGTGGTATTTTAACCTGGGGTGCGCCGCGATCCCGACATGCCAAGGGTAGGCGAAAAAATACAGAATGTCCATAAAAAACCTTTACAACTTCAAGACTTGATAAAAAATTAATGAGTCAAGTTAACTGGATGGGGTTTGATGCTTGTTAAACAGCGTCTCTCAAAGTTTTATGCACATAAGTCAGTACACCTCTACATGTGCACACTTAGTTGTACGTAGCACATCAAGCCGATAATCGATTTCCCTCCATGTTCGCTGAAGAATCTCTGCATTAATGGTTGCAATGGCTTCCACAATCCTTCGCTTCACTTCATCAATGTTGGGAACCTGTGTACGGTACACAAGATCCTTAACATAACCCCAAAGAAAAAAATCCAGCGGGGTTATGTCGGGTGAACGAGGTGGCCACGGTATTGGACCATCTCTCCCAATCTACCTATCAGGAAACTGCTCGTTAAGGTAACCGCGAACCGCCAACCCCCAGTGGGGTGGTGCTCTATCCTGCTGGAAGATGACATGTTGTTGAATGTCCTCCAATTGTGGGGCAGCAAATTCCGTCAGCATATCCAGATACACATTGGCTGTGATTGCTTTTTCGGCGAAGAAGAATGGCCCAATCATTCGGTCACACATGAAGCCGCACCACACGTTAACTTTCGGGCTATCGCGCACAAGTTCTCTGGCCGCATGGGGGTTTTCGGATGCCCATATCCTTACGTTGTGCCTGTTAAGTAACCCCGACACATGGAACGTTGCCTCGTCACTAAAGAGAACACGCTCAAGGAAGCCTTCCTCGACGTAAATTCGAGCCAGCAAGTCGACAGCAACTGTGCGGCGTGGCCCCTCATCTGGCTCAAGAGTTTGCACTTTGTATGCGTACAGTCTCAGATTCTTGTGCAGAACTTTGTGGACGGTCGAACGTGGCAACTCCAATTGTCTGGCGGCGGTGCGAATGGACTTTCCAGGGCTACGGACAAATGCACCACGCACACGTTCAATGTCCGCTACGCTTGTGCTTGGTCGGCCACTGCCTTTTTGCTGCAGAACACTGCCAGCCTCCATAAATTTCCTGTGCCACTCACGAATTGTGTGTCTTGATGGCGGTTCCCTTCCATATTTGGTCCTGAACTTGCAATGCACCTTCGTATCTGATCTTGTCTCGATAAACCAAGATACACATTGTGCCTTCTCCTGTGGAGTAGCCATTTCCTGTAATGTTAAATGTCAGTCGACGTGCACACCTTCTCTTAAAAACTTTGAGAGACGTTGTTTAACATGCAGAAAATATCATCCAGTTATCTTGTCTCATTATTTTTTTATTTAGTGTTGAAGTTGTAAAAAAAAATTATGGACACCCTGTACCATAAATTCAGTGCTGCCAACTTTGTTCAAATCTCCCTTTACGTGCTAAATACAGGGATATATAGTATGCAGATAAATTATATGATATGAAGGCTTCGCGGCGACGTAATTAAATAAAATTTTCTCGGGTGGACATGGTTAAACGATGAAACCGACGTTTCTGGGACTATCTCTGTCCCTATCAATACTTTAAAAACAGTAATGTACTGATAACAACACCGTATAAAAAGAATTATGGGCTAAGGTTGGTATTTACTGTAATTTGCATCGTCCTAGCAGAGAAATGTGTTGACGTGGACAAGAGAGAAGTAAAAGTTTTGTGATTTAAATAGCACGTCTAGCTTTAAATTGTTAAACTATTTATAATACTATAAAATACATATTTTATTTTGTTTTCGCGTGTGAATTATCGGAGCTGCAACAGATGCAGTGTTTCTGCGCGGAGAGGAGGAGATGATTATACTAATTTTAACGGCTGGGGTAGGAAGATTTTGTGCACCCTTGAAAACCGTCATAACTCTCGGTGACCCGACAAACGATGAGTGCTTCCCGAATAAAAATGTCAGTAGCAGTAAAGATGCGACAACTTGACCGCTACTCTTCACAGAAAATGACAGTTAACTTATCGATTCCTGGTTATACAATTACTTTCCAGGTTTACTGAGAGTTTAATTGTACAATACTTTCTGATTAATGGATCAAGAAAAATGTGAAATCAGGCAGCCGTTGCCTATTTTAAAGTATCCGACTGTGAAGCATTTGATGGATGGACTGTGTATTGCCATGGAGAACTCATTTCAAGATAGTTGACGTACGGGACGAGATTTGAAGCCGGGACCTCCAAAAAACGAAACAATAATACTACTCACTCGGCCTCGATTTTCGATGAATCTGCCAATGGGTCTGATGCAATTCGAATATGTCATATAATTAAGTTAATCTGTGTTTATGAAGTCCCCACCGAAACAAAATCCTAAATATGATATTGCCGACATTAATACGCAGGCCTAATAGTGAAAATCTCATATAGACAGAATTGATCGTCAGGACACGTGGGGCATAGGAGAATGACGGTTAAAAAACAAAATTTGAATAAAATCCACTCCCACAAGCGTGAGAAACCTTTTAAAATCGCATATTTTTAACACCATGTGATAGATTGACACAGTTAAATTATCTTCCATCTGTACAGCAACCAATACCAGTGATTAGCAAAGTGGCTTTAAATATTAATTTCATTAGTCACACGTAACACTCCTCAAACACTGATCTCTGCACTGTACTTTCAAAAACAATTTAGTAATGTTTTCAAACACTTTCCTCAGGCGTGTAGAAAAGTTACAAAACTTCGTTTAATAAAAATTTCAATTAATAATTTATTTTCCACTTACGGATAATATTTCCACAAACGTTACAAAATGTGTTACATTTAAAACGTATTAAATAAGATTTATTACATTATAACAATTTCTATTGCTGTTTGATTTTGTCCTTAAATTCACGCCCTCAGACAAGTATCAGGAGACAAGACAAAAGAATGATTCACCCGCTCCGGAAGTGCAACGTTGGACAGACCATAAATGTCCATACCTGTAACTCCGGAGGCCCGCCCTCGTCTCGGATCAGCAAGAGGTAACTCTGGCCATCAACGAGGATCTCCTTTTTGAAGCGACCTCCCTCAGGAGATTCCTCCTGCATATAAGAGCCAGTAAGGTAACGGTGCACCAGCGCCGACTTTCCGGATGACAACGAACCCACGATCCCGAGCCTGAGGTCGGGAACACCGCGGCTCAGAGTCCATTCTTGGCTGTTCACAAACGAATCTGAAACAGAAACAACAGCTGTCAATGCACAGAAAACAGACAACTCTTTAAAACAATGTATTCTGGATGTACGGAGGCCTGCTGCTACAAAAACATTAAAGATATCCAAAGAATTTTACATTCAGTACGAAATAAAACGAGATCAAACGCCGAAACGCATATGGAAGTCCACATATGATAAATACAACAAGAAATTCGACCGATTTGCGTAAATTAAAATGCCTATATGTCCACATTTCAATCCATATAATAATACTAGCAATATCTGTAAACTAATACGCCTAATTATATAATTTTGTGACACCTTTTATTCCCCGTCCCCGACTATCGCCACGGTGGTCTAGCGGTCAGAACGCTATCCTTGTTATCCTGGGGTCTCGGGTTCGATTCCCGGCGGTGCCCGAATTTATATCTTGTGTTGGGCAAGGCCGTGGTCTAGGTAACACGGAGTTTTCCTCCGTGGCATCCCCACAATTACTCCATTCACACCCAGAAGAAGGCAATGGCAAACCACTTCTGGATCATCTGCCAAGAACGTATATGAACAGGTCCCAGTCCGAGAAAAGGATGGAAGGATCCTGTTCATATGGACCTGTCGTCAGACAGAATACTAAATAAATAAATATAAATAAATCCATATTGACGTGTTATTGGTGACAGGTAATAGAATATACAGAATTATATAGAAATTATCAACAAGTGTGTGATCTATACAAAACTTCTCAAGTCCATATCAAATTTTTCATTAGCTGCTGACATATAACCGACAAGACATAATTAATTTTCATTTCCTTCTTCTCCAGAACACAGCATTACGTAAGAAATTTAACTGCTGTAATGTTTCACGAGTGCCCGGATCCGGCTTGTAGAATGGACGCCCGTTATTAACGGGTTTGTGAATACAAATACAATATTCGTTGCTCATCCGAATACAGCGCTACAGCAAGGAACTTTCTTCACTCGCCCTGACAAGGTTAATTTTATTAAAAAAAATATCAGATTTGAAAAACATGAAATAGCATTCTATTAATTGAACACATTATGGAAGGATGCTATAAGATGGCTTTTATCATAAATTAAACGAGGCTCTTTCACTAACACTCCCTCTTTCTATTCGTAAAAATACGAGGGTCGCTCATTAAGTAATGCCCCACATTTTTTTTCTCAGCCAATAATGAAGATAGAAAAGTGTACTTTTACATGCTTGAGATTTGATGTTTCCCGCGTTCGTGTACGGAGTTTCAAATGATTCCAACCGATAGCGGAGCTGTAGTGAACTGTTAAAATGGCGTCTGTGAACGACTCTCGGTACAAGCAACGAGCTGTAATTGAATTCCTTGTTGCTGAAAAAGAAACGGTGGTGAACATTCATAAACGTTGGTGTGCTGTGTATGGAAGCTGTGCAGTCGATAGGAGCACCGTTGGTCGCGGGGCTAAGAGAGTTAAAGCTTCAGGAAGTGAAGAAACCGAGCTCC